AGATATGGGCCACTCTTCCTTAATAAATGTTTAAATGTAAACAAAAACATAACTCTCATTAACAGCAGATTTTGCTTTTGAGTGTAGACATTTGCTGCTTACGGCCAGCACTGGTTATTATGGCTATATATGGTAATTCATTAACTGTTCTGGCCTTCATTAAAACTTTGGATTTTGTGTTGTTTTAAAGATTAGTTAATAATTGCCTCTCTTATAAAATATGGCAATTGAGTATCCATTTCCCCTCAACCTTTTTCTCTCTATTTTTCCCTTTTACCAATTGGTATATCTATATATTTTTCATCTAAATATAAGCGGTGCTGACGAAGTATGTCTGTTACGTGTAAGACAGTTGCTTGACTGATATCAGTTGTCTTACTTTTGGTTGCAAGCATAGATACTGACTCAAACGATCATTAGACATGCAAAATACATTCTTCCCTTGGCCATATTTATCATTATTGCTGCCGTTTCTTTGGCCTTTTTGGCTAATGTCTTCTGTTAAATTGTCCATAAAATTTCGTTCTCCGTGCGAGCTTCTTTGCCAGCATATTGACATGACTTACATACACTGTTATGTTAGTTTTGAACTGCAGTATCTATGAAAGCTTGACATTACCTAGTTCTTGTACTCTCTGTTCCACTTTGCATGTTTAAAGGTTTGGATATCCTAAAAGCTCTCTATTTAAAATTTGCAGCAGATTGGCATATGATCTCAAATGACATCAATATCACAAGTGACATGATAGCATAGCAGCTACTGCTTTTTTTTCTTTGAGATTTGAGGTATAATCTATGCTTATTAAATTTTCAAGGTAATAGGACACCTAGTAAACATTTTGCACACACTGCATGGTTGAAATGGATACAATTTTTTCACTTGAAATGCCACATGCTCTTTATGTGTGTTTGTGTGTGTTTGTGTGTGTGTGTGTGTGTGTGTGTGTGTGTGTGTGTGTGTGTGTGTGTGTGTGTGTGTGTGTGTGTGTGTGTGCGCGTGTGTGCGTGTGCGTGTGCGTGTGTGCGTGTGCGTGTGCGTGTGTGTGTGTGTGTGTGTGTGTGTGTGTGTGTGTGTGTGTGTGTGAGAGAGAGAGAGAGAGAGAGAGAGAGAGAGAGAGAGAGAGAGAGAGAGAGAGAGAGAGAGAGAGAGAGAGAAAGAAAGAAAGAAAGAAAGAATGAAAAGGAGAAAAAAAAAAGGTCGCGAGAAAGTGAGTGTATTCGCAGTACATCGAATGTTCTGAGCAGCTTATATTACCCGGAACTGGCTGCCACTATAAGGGAATTTAACGTAATGCCATTTTAGTCACTTGCAAACAACAAACAGTAAGCACCAAAAACCGTCCGATGTAGATCCCGAAATATCCACAATTAATCCACAATCATCTTAGATCCGCTCTCAAGGTCCATATAGGTAAGGGAAAGCAGTCTCTATGGCGTAAGACGTAAGAGAGGTTATTTTTCTTTTACCGTTTTGCCCAGATTCATCAGTTAAGACGTTTTTTCTCTCTTCTTCCCTTTCTCCTCGTCCCCCTTCTCCACCTCTTCCATACTTTCTCCTTCATCCTCCTGCACCTTACCTTCCTGCAGTTGATGCTGCTGCTCCTCCTCCTCCCTTCTCCCTCCCCCTCCCTTCTCCTTCCTCCTCCCTTCTCCTTCCTCCTCCCTTCTTCCTCCTCCTCCCTTCTTCCTCCTCCTCCCTTCTTCCTCCTCCTCCTCTTCCTCCTCTTCCTCCTCCTCTTCTTCCTCCTCCTCCTCCTCCTCCTCCTCCTCCTCCTCCTCCTCCCTTCTCCCTCCTCCTCCTCCTCCTCCTCCTCCTCCTCCTCCTCCTCCTCCTCCTCCTCCTCCTCCTCCTCCTCCTCCTCCTCCTCCTCCTCCTCCCTTCTCCTTCCTCCTCCCTTCTCCCTCCTCCTCCTCTTCCTCTTCCTCCTCCCTTCTCCCTCCTCCTCCTCTTCCTCCTCCTCCTTTTCCTCCTCCTCTTCCTCCTCCTCCTCTTCCTCCTCCTCCTCCTCCTCCTCCTCCTCCTCCTCCTCCTCCTCCCTTTCTTCCCTTCTTCGCGTCTGTCTCTTCTCCCTCCCTCCTCCTCTTCCTCCTCTCCTCCTCCTCCTCCCTTTCTTCCCTTCTTCGCGTCTGTCTCTTCTCCCTCCTCCTCCTCCTCCTCCTCCTCCTCCTCCTCCTCCTCCTCCTCCTCCTCCTCCTCCTCCTCCTCCTCCTCCCTTTCTTCCCTTCTTCGCGTCTGTCTCTTCTCCCTCCTCCTCCTCCTCCTCCTCCTCCCTTTTCTTCCCTTCTTCGCGTCTGTCTCTTCTCCCTCCCCTCCTCTTCCTCCTCCTCCTCCTCCTCCCTTTTCTTCCCTTCTTCGCGTCTGTCTCTTCTCCCTCCCCCTCCTCTTCCTCCTCCTCCTCCTCCTCCCTTTTCTTCCCTTCTTCGCGTCTGTCTCTTCTCCCTCCCCCTCCTCTTCCTCCTCCTCCTCCTCCTCCCTTTTCTTCCCTTCTTCGCGTCTGTC